GCCCTTGTGTGCAACAAGTGCTTTCGATGCACTCTACCTTTGATTCTGTGATACTTTCCCAATGAAGATGGTGGAGCAACCCCATTGTTCAACTCCAAGTGGCCAAAGTGATTGGCCAATCACCACTTTTATGGATGAAGTTGGCATATGTTGGCCAATCACTCTGGTAAAGAGGTATCATTCCTATCCACCAGCCATCGCCCCGCAGCAGCATTTCATTTTGCTGCAAATCGGGTTGGCATCCAGATGGACGCGATCTGGAGCCCGAAGCCTCAGAAGCTGGTGCCAAGTGGCCAAGTGTACCAACAAGTGGGGGCATTGAACATGTTCCTTGAATCTTGTACTGTCTTTGAAAGGAACAACGAGGAGACCAGTAATTAAAGGTAAAGCCCAAAAAACGTGTCACATGTCCTGTGATCGATTGGGAGCCCATTTTGTTCAAAGCTCATCTGACCCTTTGGGCCCATGGCATCCCTAGATGGATTGGTGTGTGACTGGGATGCATGTGACGTGCTCCGTGAGCGGATGAGGGTCCACAAAACCCTCTTCTTGCCAGAGCCCCGGATGTCTGAGACTAGGGCGACGGTGAGCTGCGCTGATCGGAACGTGGAGGTGCTCAAGCCTTTGGTGCAACGGCTGACAGACCCTACTACAGGGCAAGTTGGTATGCTCACAGTCCCTGATCTTGAGAAACAGACCTTCAGCATCTATAGTTGCAAAGTTTTTTTTGGATGGCATACCTTTGGGGACTGTGCTGCAGGTCAAAGAGTATCATACAAATCGGTCTACCCTTCATTGACAAGAGCTGGGACATGGTTTTGGGAGTTTAGGGACTGTTCTTCCATATCCGATGGCCAAACCAAGGATCAAAATCTTCTATGAGCGCTTCAACATAACAATCTCCAAACCCATTGTCAAACAGGATGCCAAATTGGCAAAATGTTTCCTTGTGCTGGTGAAGCGCAAGTTGCAGCGTGAGCAAGTGTGCCGCAGTGCTTCTTTCCGGACATTGCAGGCTTTGGTCTACAAGGACAGGTTTCTTGAGGCCAGGTGTTGATGGAAATTGTTGCTAGCGTGCCACCTTTTCAGATTGATATTCTACTTGTCACGTGTCCCAAATGCTAAATTACAAAGGGGGCTGAATTTCACATCATTTCATAATTTCATATCTATCCAGAACCCAGGATTTTGGGTATTGGCTAGGCAACAATTTAAGTATATTTTCCTAGAAACCCAAACCCAGAAGAGAAACACCAAGATTATTGGAATATATTGTAGTGCATTGTATTCTAAGATAGTGTCCGAAGCCTTCAAACACTGAGGACTCGCAGGCACAAAGTGATGAACAAGAAGGCCACGATGCTGCCATCGAGGAGGTACGTATTGATGAACTTAGCTCTGATGAGGAAGAGAGGGGACAGAATGAACATATGGAAAGTGAGCTTCCGGCTGATGATTCCCAAATTCCCCATTCCGATGCTACCATTGCATATCAGGGTCGGCCTGGTGAGGCTCTGGTGCCAGTTGGTCCTGAGTTTGATCAGCCTCATGACGATGATGCTGGTAAGGCTCAGTGCTCTCCTCTTCTTATTGAAGATTCCCCCATGAAGCCGGAACAGGGCCAGCCAGTGGTTGATCCTATGTCTCGAGTGGCTGATATGGTGTCATGTCGGGAGGATATAGAGGAAAAGATCAGTGAGCTGACTGCCAAATTGAACGAGGCCAAAAAAATGTCAAGCTTCCAGGATACTTTGCTTCAATTCCTAAATTTGTGTTCCATGTTTTGATCAGGCTTTTTCCATATCCTTTAATAACTGACAACTAATTTTTGCAACCCCACCCGGGAAGTATAGTTGTGGGAGCCAAGGAAAGCTGCAGCATCCTTGGAAGCAAAGGGCATAGTCAAAGCACCCACCCGTGCTACGTTGGTTTTGGACAGCCTGCCTTTTGGCGCTGACAATACTGAGACCCAAGTTCTGCACCACATGGAGGTTGACCACCTAGCCAAAGAGTTTGCTGAGATGGGTGATGTTCCAATTCCTGACGCTCCTACAGCAACTTGTTGTTTGTAACTTTAGCATGGAGTTGTGTGTGTTTCCCACATAGGCCACTGGATCAGGCAAGGGGAAAGAACAACTCAGCACCTTTTCTGGCGCTACCCTTCTGCTTGCAGGTATTGCGGCGGTCTCAACTTCAGCTTCGGTGTGATGATGATGATGAGACTGACCCTGCCCAAAAAGCGAAGGCTAAGGCTAAGGGGAGACCCAAGGGGAAGGCCAAATCAAAGGCCAAAGCAAAGGGGAAGACACAGGCAGCTTCATCGCGAAAAGGGATGGGCCTTACTAGAGAGACCGAACTTCCTGAGGGTGATATCCCAGGTCGTGAGGAGACTTTGGATGAACCAATTGAAGACTTCGAATGTGATGGTGAAGCCCCCCCCAGAGCCTCCTGCAGACCCAACCACCAGTATGGTGAAGAAGGATGTGGAGAAGGATTTGGAGAAGGATGGGGAGAAGGATGGAAAGATTGAGGAGGGTGAGGCACCCAAAGGAAAACCAAGAAGGAAGGCTGCTGGAGCACCAAAAGTGAACCGTGAAGAGACTGGAGAGTCAGAAAAAGGGAAGGAGAGCAAAGGCAAAGGGGTGAAGAGAAAGGCAAATGCTACCGCGACCTCGAATACTTCCAAGGGCGAGGATGGAAAAAAGGGGCCTTCTACTTTCGCAAGGCGGGTTGAGCCCAATACCGAGTTGGGGAAGATGAAGTGGAACAATCTCAAGGAGGTGTTCAATGAGATCATCAAGCCTAAGCTGGTTACTTATTCTGTGCAGGAGGACTTGGGGTAGGGATGGTGGTTTGAGTAAACGTTCCCACAGCGCAGTGAGCTTTCAGCACACCATACCATAAGAGACCTCTTTCCCTTGGCTGTACCTGTGTGTGCAAGCAGTCAGTTCACATGTGGCGCAGATTTGGGCATTGCTTTAGTTCATACATAGCACCCTGAATCCCTGAACGCCCCAACCTAATACTCGCAAATACTTCAGGACTATCGCATTCTACCACCCATGCCATCCAAGACAAGTTGAGAGGACACAAAAGGGATCACACCAGCCTTTGGTGTGATCCCTTTTGTGTCCTCTCGGCCTGTGTTGGACGCTACACTTTTCACCAAGTCTGCTTCTCATAGTTTCGCATGCATGCATGAAACTTACATCCTCTCGGACCAGTTGGCTCCGCAGGACAAGTTTTGGAAGTTTGCCACTTCGCAATGGAAGGCGGTTGATGTCACCCAGGACTCCGTGAAGCAGCTGAGCCTGTCCGCTGCGACTGAGTTTCTGGCAGAGCTGGCCAAGAGCACGCCTGAGCTGCTGAAGGAAGACTAGTTTCCAACCGTGGGCCTGGAGTTGTTCCCAGTCCATGCTCCATCCTTTTGTGATGTTTGTGCACATGGGTCACAATTCCAACAATATGATTATCATTATGATCTACATTGTTTTTCTGAACTCGATGCCGAATGTATGGCCTCAAGCAATTTGATTGGAAATCATGAGGGGCAAGTGGGGCTACTCTATTCAACACTCCTGGGTTGGCAGGGGTTTTTGTGAAATTCACAGGCTGACAAAGAAAGCCTGCAAGCAACTGGGGTAGGGTAGGCAAGCAGCGCCGTCACAACGGTAGGGCATGTGCTGCCGTTTGGGGGTAAGGCCCCATGGCCAGGCAAACCCTTTCAAACAACATTCCAGATTTTGAGACAGATTCTATCCAGTTCTTGTCAAGCCATTACATCAAGATCAAGGCTGTTTGTTCAACATCTGAAAGATCAATGCTGAAAGCCTGACTTATGAGCGCAGCACTTTGGAAACCCATTTGCCACCGTTGTCGCTGCTACGACATCGAAAAGGATAGAGCTTCTTGTTTTACATTGGTTGCCCTATCCACGAAACTGGTGTATGGTTCCATCATGTTTCATCCACTGGCTTGCAAAAGCAATCTTGTGCAATTCCCTCCCAATTTGACCAACCCCTTGCACTGGTGAACCACGAGACCTTCCAAGCTTGACCCCGATGAACTGTAGCCCTTCCTGAGGCCATGGCCAATGACAATGGTGCTGACATTGGCATCAATGACCTTCGCAATACCGGCATGGTTTTGGAAGTTTGCGCCAACTGCTTCGGTTCCTGTGTGAGGGTGGCATGCATCTGAGGGTGGCACAAATGTGCTTGTATGTTTGGCATTGTGATATGCGTTCACTTCATGGGCCACCCATGAAAACCATGTTGATATTAATTGGCAACGCTGTCTCAACCGTGCCAAAGAGAGTCTTAAAACTGCAAATCACCAGGCCTGATGTCTCGCCTCATTGTCTTGACATGTTCCTCTAAACACGACCTGACCATGCCTGAAGGCATTTTGGTTCCAACAGGTGGTGAGTACAAACACCAACCTGTTCAATCTTTGAGGGTTGGGATGGAGTTGATGGATCCAGCCAAGAGGTGGAAACTGAATGTTGTGCTACAGCGTTTGTTTCTGCTTGGAGCACCAAAAGCAACTTGGCTGACCATGGGTGAGTGGGAGTCGGTGTACGAACAGTCAACCAGTCATTGATGTTCACTTCTCATCAACCACTCTGGCTCAGCCAGCCCAGTCCACCCTGATTGCTCGCCGCTGAGGTACTGATAGCTTGCGTCCTGCTTCTGGCATTGAGCCCAACAACACCGGTCTTTTGCGAGGCCCCAATAGTGATACATTTTTTTGATACAATCACTGATCAGTGTGCAACATCCACATGATCCCAACTGTGATGCATCCCTTCCAGCTTGGGCTGAAACCAAATCCCTTCATCGGAGATCAGTTGCCAGGCCTCAGGTGTTCAGGCAGTCTCCAGGCCTAATTCTTTGAAGGGCCTTTTGCACCCAAACTCCATTATAAAAAACACGGGCGCCTTCTTGCAGGCCTATGAGTTCATCGAGCTCTTCTCTGGCACTGGCTGGGTGACGAAGGTGATGAAGGCTAATGGAATCCCAACAGCATCTTTCGACATCTTGCTTGGAGAACACTTTCCAGGAAAACAGGATGCGATGAACTTGTTAACGGAAGCAGGGTTCGCGTGTCACGGTGCAATTCCAAATGTTTGCTTGTTGGTACTGTGTGGGGGCTGCCTCCAAAAAGAAACAAAAGCGTAGTCCCAAACCCGGGTGACCCCTGAGTGTCACTGTTCATGTGCCACTGTGTGGTTCTATTATGTTCAGGGCCCTTTTCCGAGTCAGGTGAACAGCAAGAACTGGTCATCTGTAAAGAAGATATTGGTGTTTGTTTTGAGGGATGGTGTTGTTGGGCCCCCTGAAGGTTGAGGGTGAACCTTCAAAGGAAAAGTTTGGGGCAATTCACATGATTAAAATCTATATTGATCAACGCTCTCCAGGCTACCTTTCATCAGCTGAGGCTAGTCCTCCTTACCATATTGAATGCCAAGATGGACAACTTCTGGTGCATGATTGGATTGGTTTGTTCCTCATGGGTGACCATAAGCAAAGGCACCCACTGCCGAGAGCCATGGGCACCGCTTGGCATGACACAGCACCAGTTTGTTGCGGATGGAAACGCCCTGACTTCAAGGACGGACTAGCTAGCTGATTGATGCCAAGTCCATTTGACTTCACTCTTACCCAGCTCCCCCAACTAGCCAAACATGGATCAGCTCAATATCCCTTCTTCCATTATACTGTTCAAGAATCTGGTGTGTGACCTGTAACAACCCGCATGGCCGTTCCAGCAGCCTGGTCTCACTGCAGGGCATGCCTCCTCATCCTGGCCATCTCTGCTATGGGAGGAGGATGGCTTTTGGAACAGCCATCAACCAGTTGCGTAGAGTGGCACCCTCGTGTAAGATTGCTTTGGCGGTTGCTGCCCGAGGTTGGACTATGGCCCAAAGACGTTGTAACAATATCAAAAGAAGTTGTTGTTAAACTAAAGTGGTTCTATTCTTTGTCTTGGTATTATATGAGGAAATGTCCAGCAGTCTGTAGGTGTTCAGTGCAAAGTGGTGGGCTTGCATGTATGGGCCCCCACAGCAAAGCGCCATATTGGGTGGTCAAACTGCAAAACCATCAAGTGCTTGGATTTGGGGCGCATGGTGCGGAAGTTGCACACCAAGAAGGGCGGTCTCAAATCAACAAAGACCTATCGTAACAAGGAAGGCAAAAAGTCTTTTGCTGGGAACCAGCACTTGAAAGGAACTGGGACACCAGGTTTAACCAGCAGTTTTTTTTTGCTTTCCTTCGGAGCTACCTCCCATATGTTTGCATTTCATTGAGCTATGGCACATACACAAGTGTCCCCCAATGTGTGGGTACAATGGTTTCTTCTGGCCCTATGAAGTGTATATTGAATATATGCACATGATGCACATGCATGTATGGATCATCCCTTTACATGTTTTCCACAGGCCTGGGTGGTAAACACGTGCCGGTCCACAAAGTAGTCGGCTCGCTCCTGCGACTGAGGACTTATCCACCAGCTTTTGCAAAGAAGCTGGCACGTCTTCACACACGGTTCTGTTCCAAAAGGACCCTGTGGTTTGGCACGCATCTGGAGGTGGACAATTGGGAGCTCTCTGTGCATTTGTTCGAAGAGTTGCCGTGGGAGGAAGCTGACTGGTGGCCAGATGCTGCCATGGAGTCAGTCTTTTGTTACCTCCGGGGATCAAAGGATTTAGAACTTGGATCCCTCCGAAGGTTGTTTCCAACCCACTTGCCTTAGCGCCTTAGTGGTCTTTGATGGCCGTTACCAACATTCAAATGCACCAGCCGCTGCCGCCTATGAAAGTACCCCAAAGATCTTTCAATGATAGCACTCCCCAAACAGGACCACAAGCTGATCAACTCAGAATGGACACCCTAAGAGAAACTCATCTGGGTCATCTTTTTGATTTGCCTATGTGATTTTATCATGTTTCCTGTTTCGAAAATCACAGGTGTATTCAGATGTTGGCGCTCATACTGACATTAGTCACTGGGCGATGGCCATGCTTAAATTTAAAATATAGCGAAACTAGGCTAGAGAAGCCTTGCTGGCGCTCTGGAGAGGAAAAGGAGCCAGTGACATCCAACTCCTTAAGTGAGTGAGCGTTAGGGTGAATCTTTCTGGTGTAGTTGAAGTGTTTCATACTTCCGCTAAATGAATTTACCAGATTTATGGTAGTTTTGAAGTGGAAAGTCAAAATCCCAGAGAATACGTACAAAATACGTATTTTGTACGTATTCCACCCGTACCCAGGGTGTACGCCGTACAAAGGGCGTGTTTTGGCGTACAAAGGGCGTGTTTTGCCGTACGAGAGTACGTACCTTTTACGTATTCTTGGCGTATTTTGGATGTTGGGCTATGTTGGGTTTTTTTGTTGGTGTTTGCCCTGGTTGATGCCCTAATGTACCTGACTTGGTTCAACTCCCTTCCCAAAACTCTTTGTCCATGCCTGAAGAAGTTCTTCGGCTCAGTTGGCGGAGCATAGCCTGAAAGGTTGAGGCAGCGATGCCCAATCCGCCAGTGAAGAATGAACGTAAGGTTCCCTCTAAGCAGTTCAGCTGTTCTGAACTTAAAGATGGTCATGCCAAGCTGATGGCGGTCAAGATGGAATCGATCTCCAAGGACCAGCTGGAGGATGAAATTCAGGAGCTTTACTATGCTTAAAGAAGGGTTTTGATTGGAAGAATGCATGTGATCAATTTTGAAGGGTGCATTTTTGGGGTGATCAATCTTGCAGTTACTGCATAAGTGTTTTTAAGTTCTATCAACCGACCTCTTGCCCACTTCACGCCGGCGCTTCAGGAATACCAGAGGAAGATCGAGGAGTTGAAGAGGGCTGCTAGCAAGGCAGATATTGCGGAGCCTTGTCACGCACCCCATCTTACATGTTCAATTTCACAGAGTTGATGTTCCAATTAAAGGGTTTCCTGTGCAATTTGCAGGAACCAGTCCTGAACATGTAACATCTCAGGAAGCGGAGACACAACCAGTTCCTTGTCTTCAACTTCAACTCCTAGAGAATTGAACTCTTCACAAATTGAATTTGACTGACCTTGGTGTGTTCATATTCTTTCACAGCAGTGCTTTGGGGTCCAATGAGGCAACTCCAGAAGAACTTGCTGGTGGCACCAAACCAGCTCCCAAGACTGCTCCCAAGGCTTCTGCCAAAGCCAAACCCAAACCGAAGGCAAAAGGCAAGAACGCCACAGAGAGCTCTGAGAAACATGATCGGAGCCCAGTGAAGCCAGACCAGCCATCCCCAAATCCAGTCCCACCCAAAAGGATGCGGGGGAAGCAACCAGAAGACCAAGCCAAGGAGATTGAAGAACTTCGCAAGGTTTGGTTTTTTTTCCAGTGGTGCACATGGAGTTGATTTTGGGGGGTGCATGCATAAACTGTCGTCCCATTGTATTGACCCTTAAAGTTGAATTGTTGGCTAGGCGAATGAGCGGATGAATGAGGAGTTGGCCAAGATGCGTGAGGCCATGATGGATCGGAGGTCAAGTTCCAGTTCGAAGACTGCTTATGCGACCCCACCACCCAAGTTGCCAGCTCCCTCGCCCGACGGAAAAAAGAAGCCGCCTCCTCCTGAGGTTGCGGAACCAGCGTCGGCGCCACCTCCGCCGACCGAAGGTGCTCGTTTGAACCGCTTGCGGAGATTGTGTGAACGCAAGCCGAGCGGCAAACTTTTGGTTCCTGAGTCCATACACCAAAAGTGGAAGAATGGTGGTAAGGATCGAGAAGCACTACTTGATGAGCTGGAACGGGCTGATTGGTCAAAGGATTGGGTGACATAAAAATGAACACCTGTTGGTCAATATCAATGCTGTTGGTTCAATAGTTTGTGTCAGAGCTGCGCACAGCATGGGAACTCATGATATTCATGCACGTCTCCATGCTCTAGAGACTTCCCTCAGGACTTGTTCATCAGCCGGATCACCAAAACACTTTCCAAGACAAACAAGCTCAGCCGGCGCAAGAAGCGAGGATGGTTTACGAAGGAAGCCATGTCGAGGGTCTTGAACTGGAGTGCGTCCCCGGGCCAAAAGTATGTTGTCCCTAATCTGGTGTATGTCAAAACAATGCCTCCATGGTCCATCCCAGAAACCATCCACCCAAGTGCACCAAGGGCCTACATCAAGAGTGTCGTCGACTTCTGCGAGAAGCCTGGCAATGTAGACCGGTTGGTGAAGAATCTTGGGTGCAAAGTGGGTGGTACTCATGGCTTATGTTGGCTTCATGTTCCTATACATCGGTTGCAGTACCTGTGACAAACCCTTTAATTGAGAACTCAAGGAAGGACCGCTACAACCCCAAGCTGAAGAAGTATTATGTAGTCTACGAAGAAGGCGATGAAGAACTCTCTGAAGACGAAGAACGCCTAGACCAGATGGACACTGAGGTTCCCTACTTGCATTGAAATCTTCTTCAGGTTAAAGGTCCATGTCCATCAGCCTGAAACGACCTCAGGTTGCTGAGAACGAAGTGGAGTTCCGCCGTGTCGGCACCGTCCGTGTTCAATCTGACGATGAAGGCAATGATTCAGAGTCGGAGAAGAAGGCCGAAAAGGTCAACACTGCTGCAAAGGAGTGATCATCTTGAGGGTGTAGGGGCTTTGGTCTTGGTGTGTGTTATACATGTCTTTCATCAGCACACCCGGGTCACCAAACCAAAACAGGAGTATGAGAAGTTTGCCCGCTTCACAGACAGTCTTCTAGCACGATCATCGAAGCTTACGGATCTGGCCCAGCAGCTGGAGTCTGGTCTTGCTGAAGCTAAGAAGACCCAAGACAGCCCTGAGGGTAAGAGGGTCAACAAGTTGGGTACCAAGCTTCACTATGTGTAGTGCTTTCTGCAACATGTTTCAACCCCCGCTGTTGATCCTTTGTTCCCAAAAAAAAACATCCCACCCAGCTCGGCCGGCTCAGGTGCGTGCAGAACTTGGAAGCTGCCGTTGAGACCCTGGAGCAGCAGTATGAGAAGTGCGAGCTGGTGAAGCTGGATGTTTCCGAGTTGCACACCGAGAAGGACTTAGAGCCTGCGACCGTGAAAGAGTTTCCTGGCTTGAGAAGTTGATATGACCTTCATATCCAGTGAACCTGTATATCAACCCATGCAGTTCGTCAAATTGAACTGTTCATAGCGCACAACAAATATAGCTAGGCTTTCCCATCTCATCTCACACACACACGTGCCAATCCATGAGGCTCCGGAAGAAGATCGATGCCCAAATCCGCGTGACCACTGCAGCGTGCCTCGTCGTCAATATGCACAGTGATTCCACCACCGCCTGTGTTCACAGGCAAGTTGGGGTCAAGCCGCGGGCCGAGGTGCAGCAAGGTGACCACTGCAGAATCTGCCGCAAAGCTGCTCATCTATAGAACAAAGTGTCAGCAAGGAGTAAGAATGTTTTATATACTATATCTCGATCGTAATGTAATTGCTGTTTTCTATCTGATGAGGAGGCTATCCAGGAAACATGAGATGTCAGTTGGGCCTTGTTTCTTCAAAATTGAAGGATGTCCAAAAGTCCATAAGTTTTAATTTGAAGGGTGACTTTGGATGTTCCCTTGGACTTGCCCAGGAATCTGTTGAAGATCCTGAAGAGGACACCTCAAGAATGAGTTCTGATGCCTCGACCAGTGCATTTTGCCCTGTCAGGGTCCAAGGTCCTTAGGGCTCCATATGTGCCAGGGACCATTTTTGCCTATGGGGTACTTGTGACTCGTGAACATGTGTTGGATTACAAATTAAACACGTGAAGAGTCACTGAAGCCATGTTTGATCTGACTAGTTCGAAGAGGCTAGCGATGGGGACGAAAATCAACGTTGGGCTTGATGGGTTCGATCTCGCACTCAGTGCCCAATTTCATTGATTGTCACTGTGTGCCAGGTGGCAATCCGGACATCGTCCTTCGGCATTGCGCCCGCCTCATCGCCAATGGCGCCGGGGAACCCCAGCACCGTCGGGCCTGTGGCAAAAGTTTGATTGGCAACCCCTGCGCATCGCAGCTGTATGCAGCTGTGGTGTTTTTCAGTTGACATGTCATTGGGGGGGGGCATGAGAACAGTGAGGTGACATGGTCATGACTCCAATTCATATGCAGCCCAAACTTACAAAATCCAAGAAGTGCATGTACAACTGGCATACTGCTGGGACAATTTCACCACATGCAATGGCTGATGAAGAGAGTGACTTTCTGCTGGAGCTCCTTTCCTACAGCTGCCCGCTGACTGGGAAGAAACGTGTGGCTGGCCAAGATCTTCCCCAAGAAACCCAACATGCTAAGCAACTTGCTGGTACTTTCGCTAGACTTTGTTTGGTACTGGTGTGCTTTTGAACCCATACAACTAGCAACTGTTTATTTTTTATTTGGCTACCATGGCCAAGGTTCTTGAAAAAGAGCCCTTCAAGGGAAACCCATGCAGTTGCTGAGACTTCCAACTTTGAGGTGGATGTAGTAGACATGGCCTACTTCAATAGAACACCCGAGTACTCATCCGATCGCTCCAGCTCGCCTCCACCGTCGGGAGACAAGGCCACGTCCATCGCACCCGCAACTCAGCGTGTGGAAGTGATGGAAAAATTGTTGATCCCACTAGAATTTGAAAGCACTGTTTTCATGCTTGGTTATACTAATGGCGTCAATGTCCACCCCTTCGTTCTCCAACCCATGCAATTCTAAGGAGACTGTTCCAAGACCGCTTGCACGTCCACTTGTGCGTTGCAGAACCAGAAATGAAGCTGTGGTGGACCACTCAATGGCCAAAGGGGCAAAAGTCCCTACCTGTGGAAGGCTACTGGCCCACTGTAAAGAGAAGGTCACAGCTTTCCGCGAACACCAAGGGATCCGTCTGTGTGTTTTCAAAATTGGTGTCACTGCAGACCCAGTGAGCAGGTTCCAACTGTATTCGGATCAGGGGTTCACATCCATGTGGTTGTTAGCTACTTCGGATAGTGTCGATTTGATACATATGTTGGAAGCTGCTCTGATATCAGAGTTCTGCAAGCATGTAGGGTGTAGAAATCGTGAAGGTACTGGGGGTGAGGGTGCTTTGAATAGAAAGGCGACAATTAATCCACCATACTATGTGTATGTGACTGGTGGCAGGGCTGACCAGCCACGGCGTGTTGGATGAATACATCCTCGCACAAACTGTGAAAAAATTGTTGCCCAGCTCTGCACGCCTGACATGGATACAGAGTATGATGTTTGAGATGAACTGTTTTTTGCACACCCTGTGAGTATTGATGCGCTTTTCCTTCATACCCTCCCTGTCACCCAGCAGTGTGTCCAATTTGTTTCAACATGTTTGCTTCTCCGAGGCTCCTTGCAAGCACCTCGTTGAACTTGCCAGAGCGGAGGTGGAAGTGAATCCGGTTGCTGGCAGGCATATGAGGGACTTTGCAAGTGTGAGGTTAGATGACGCCGAAGTTGGAGTCCACAAAGTCTTGCAAAGGGCCAAGATGACTGCACCCATTCCTATTGAGGGCCTCGACATAGGAGAGGTGAGGAGCTTGAAACAGTTTCCGTTCATCAGGTTGAGCTCTTGGATGCAGCTTTTGTTGGATAGTGGCCGGTTTGCCCGGCAAATGGCAGGTGTCCCCACCATAGAGAAAATGAGGAGTGTGATGACAGAGTTCTGGAGGCGATACAAGGACATTCACCCTGATCATTTCATTTTTGATTGGGAAGCTGATGGGAGGGTTCAACTCCAGGATTGCGTTCCATTTTTCTCGCACACCGATGAGGGCAGATCCTATAAGCACATGCCGATTTGGATTCTGTCTTCACATGGTGCGCTTGGCAGGGGCACTCGGTCTTACTTGTCAGCCGGAAAGCATAGAGCGCCGTTGAGAAGAAACGGCATGGGCATGAACTACATAGGAAAGACCTGGAGCACAAATTTTGTATTCGCGGCAGTCACCAAGACCGTTTCGGTGGTGTGTCCAAATGCAATTCCCAAGCTTGTTGCTGAATATGCCTCGGATGTTCAAACGCTTCTGGAAACCGGTCTCCGTTCAAAGGATGGTCAAACACATGTCAGGCTAGTGCACCTCAACACCAAAGGTGATCTCCCAGCCCTGGTGAAACTTGGCGGACTGAAGAGAAGCTTTTCCAATGTTCCTCGTGGGCCATCGAGCAAGAAAAGCTGCCAGGGCATTTGTCACCTATGCCTGGGTGGACGTGAAGCTGATCCATCACGTGGTGTGGCAGCAGTGCCCTTTGAAGACTTGTCAGCTTCCGGCCAGTGGACCACAACCATTGGTGTAGATCTGCCTTGGGATAGTGAACCGGCCATTCTCACTGGCTTGCCACTGACTACACCCTTCGAGAAGACTCAGTTTTTTTCCACAGACTTTTGGCACAACTGCCACTTAGGCGTGTGCAAGCACTTCACAGCATGTTCTTTCGTTGCAGTCCTGGAGTCAGGTCTCAGCAGTGTTCCCAACGGAAGTATGGAGGTGAAATTTCAGTGGTTGACAGACTGCTACAAGGGGTACTTCCGGTCAATGAACAAGACCCCGTTCATTGCAGAGATCAGTCGTGACACGATGAACTTCCCGGCAGGCACAGCAAACCCAATTGGGAAATGGAGCAAGGGTCAGGTATCCACGGAAATGATGATGTTCTTGGATTTCTTTGGTCGCAACTTTATCGTTGGGAAGACAGTTGACCCTCTCTTGACTGCAATTGTTTCTTGTTCAGTATGGCACTGTGTTAGTAGCTTTGGCTGTGTCTTTATGTTTCCCCCATAGACTTCCAAAGAGTCATGCTACAACCCAGCATTTTGGAGTGCTCTGATTTCTTGCTGCGCGCCTAAGGCTGAGGGAGCGCGAGCTCTGAACATCGCTATTGCAGTGATGTACCAGTCTGGATTTTGGATCCGGGCTGACAAAGGCTTGAGGTTGTCAAGGTTGATCTTTTCATTCCTGGCCCTCTATGCAACTTGTGCCCGGGTCACTCTGGTCCAAAGGAAACGTCGTTTTTTCCATCATTCCCAAGTTGCATATGATGGCCCATAGCGCCATGAATTTGCAAAACCAGGCCAGCACCGGTGCTGGATGGGTCATGAACCCCATGTCCCAAGGAAATCAGATACAAGAGGATTTCATCGGCCGGCCATCACGCATCAGCAGAAGAGTCAACATAAGAAGCGTTCATAAGAGCTTGCTGATGAGAGTCCTAATTATGTACCACGAGAGTTTGGAGAACTCTGATGTGGATTCCCGGGGAATGGATGGGTATTCAGACCTGTGAACCCATTGTGCCTTTCAAAGGTTTGTTCTGTTACAGTGTTCTCAAATGTCCTCAATAGTTCCAACATGTTCCAACTGACCTCACCGATGATTTTGAGTTTGATACCCCCTTCCCTGGTCCACTGCTTGGAGCCCCAGCCGATCGACGTCGTCTCTCTGGAAGAAATGGCTGCAGACTGTGCTGGGAGGATGGAGGGGTTGAACTTTATAGAGCTGTTCAGGTGGTGTGAGTATCTTCACAGTGGTTGGTTTGTTCAGAATGTAACATACATGAAAATCAACAATGTTGGAGAAGGACGTATTTTTACGAAAGGGGCGTATTTCAACATAAGCATCTTCAATATATCGATTTCAAGATCTTTTGAGCAAAACAAGGGACAAGCCGGTTCCAGGTATACATATATACATGCATAATATACTCACACCATTTGACATACAAGAAACTGTAATCAATGTGTGCTTAATTAAACCTGCCACATGTGTTCCACCCTCCTGCTATGCACAAACCTTTGTTCCCGCCACAGAGTGAGACCCACCGCGACCGAGACGCAGGCAGAGATGGCGGACGCACGGCAGGACATGGAGAACCGGATTCGCGACTTTCACGTCGAGGCCTGACGGCGTGGCGCACGTGGCACGCAGGTTGGAGCGGAGAAGCCTTTTGTGATTGAGGATTTCCGGAAGGCTACCGGTGAGACCACATTTGGCTGCATGAAGCTTTTAACCAAGCAACAGATGCATAGTGAGGGGGTTACACTCAATCATATAGAAGGCTATACCAGGACCCTCCAAGGGGTGTTTATGTATAGCCCCTTAGCCGTGATTCGGGGTGTCCATGAACCACCCCTTGAAGGCCCTGGTATGTATTGGCAATTGGGAGTTGTTTTTAATGTGTGTTTCCCATGAACAACGATGGTCAGGACAAAGAGTGCTGCGTACTTCAGATGATGTTTCACTGTTTTTTGTTGGCTTCATTTTTGGGAGAGAAGAGAGAGGTCATTACCGCGTGAGTTGCTGCTTTTCGGGTGTCCTTTTCGGGTCTTTGGGCGTGGTGCTTTGACTCGAAAACACCTGGCGTCGTTTCGAGTCGTTTTCTCTCGACGTTTTGAATCGACGGTCCGACACGGATGTGATGTACCCGACACGGCAGGTGGATCGAAGAATGGAACAACAAGCAGTTCGAGTGCATGCCATCGTTGAGGACGGAAAGACTTGGGAACAGTTGCGCGGGACGATTTGGTAGGGAAATGCCTCAGTTTGTTTTCCTTAAGGTTTTTTGTTTCGAGCTCCATAAATCAAGCAGACATCGCAGCCAGCTAGAACCCTGGACAAATCGTTGCATTGAAAAAACTTTCGTTGTATCCATGACATCCACATGACGGAGAATATTTTTCTTGGGCTGCTTACCTTTTTGGCAATTGGACATACAGGCGCGCTTTCAACAAAGCAGTCATGAGGGCGAGCTGGGCGGCGCCCACAGTACGTACGGCATGATCAGTCAACTCCGGCCTACTTGTCCAGAGCAAGAGGTCAAAGGATTGCTTGCGCCATTGTTCTAATTCTATGTGGGCTTTGCTGTGGACCCATCTCAAAGTAAGGAAGCGAACCAAACCCTTGTCCAAAGTACGGAACCAAAAAACGCATCCAAAAATCGTCCAATCCACATCAAAATCGTCCAAGCAGCTCCTTGGGCCCTGGTTTTGTTCGAACACCTGTTCCGTCAGCATTTGTCCCGACCTGCTCCAGCAGTAAAACATGTGTTCGGTGCCAAGCGCCGAACTGTCCGTTCTGTGGGGAGGTGGAGGCGACGGATGGTGGCCGGTGAAGACGAAGAATCCCACAGGATATGAAGCAATCCCCGCAAGACAACGTTGACTGAATAGAAAAAAGGAGTCAAGGTGGATCACATGAATACCGATTCGCTGCAGGAATTCCCCCTGAATCGATACAACCGTTTTTGTTGGCCGCCAGGAGCGCGTGAAGCAACAGCTCGACGCCATCCTCGCGGCAGAGATGGAGAAGGCATGGAGCGAGCGAAAGAGGCCAAATCCGAAGGTAAATGCATATTAATATCTTCCCTGCAATCATGGAAGGTGGAAGGAGCCTCTTGCTAGAGGAACATTGTCTTGCAAGGGGCCGGGACGTGAACACTTCGACAGGAGAGGCGGACCTCCAACACCGGTCGACGCCGGTCGACACGAACCCTGGTCCGCTGGTGGCATGTGATGCGGAGCTGTCGCACAAGAGAGTCCAAACAGTTTTGGTTTCATGTTTTGATTGGACCCTTACATCGTCTATATACGCAAGATGTTCTGAAAAACTGAGAGGTTTAGGTCCTACTAGGTGCTACCAGCACATTGCACTTGTCCACCTTGTCCAGCAAAACCATCTGGTCACCTGCACGGGATTTCTCCTTCACGAGCTCTGATCCGGATTGCCCACGGTTTTACTCCTCCCTAGGGATCCAAGTACCTTCTCAGAAGGTGATTGGAGGCACTGTTATGTAGATTTGGAGGGTCCAAGTACCTTCTGAGAAGGTAGTTGGATCCCTAGGGCCTAGCATTGCTCCGAAACCATCACCCGTGGTCCTCACAGGTTCTCTCCTTCGAGCGATGGTCGACCACCGACGAATGTTCTGTGCGACCGGCTTCCTTTCGACGAGTCTCTCCATCTCCGAGACGAGGAAAAGAGGTGAGCAGGTGGAATAGCAGGTGGAGTAGCAGTTAGTTTCTAGAGATGATCCCCCACGCAACCCATCCACTACACACAAACCTGAATGACCTCTATTTTAAACCACAAACCACGCAAAATATGGTCTTTTCCGATCAAAACAGAGGTCAACTGGGTTCCAGGTCTATATAAACTGCATCTAAAGCATCCAGTTCGCTGCGCAGCTGGGGAATACCTGGCACCAATTCGGTGGTCATAGCGTATATATAGCGAATGGCGAAAGCCGCCGCGATGCGTCGTCCGTCGCGGGCCTACATCTCTGAAAAGAATATATAGCTCTTATGTTTGCTGGAACATAGCCGTTTGAAGACGCGCCATGAGCTGCATGGATGGCACAGCATATTGACTCAAGACGTTCAAAAGCTTGAAACCCCTTCCGTCGGACGCCATCGCTCTTGCGGGCCGAAAGCGCGGTCCGTGCAGGTCCGCGTGTTGGTCGAAGAGCGCGTACAGGGCCGAGTACGGCAGGTGTGTGGCGGGAGAGCAAAGGAGCGGTGTGTGACGGGCAGGTGGGGAGAGTTGTTAACTTCGGTGGGAGCAGAGAGTTTAATTTTGATCATTGATGACAGAGCATACATTAAATCATGAATCCTTCAGTTGAGTCCTGTGGATCTAAATGATGAGATTTGCTCCAAACCTTTCAGGAAGAGCGGCCCGTGCATTCCGACCAACGTGTATTTGCGCGTCCTCACGAAGCTTTTTTTGGGCGCCATGCGCTTGGAATGCTATATTATGTCATGTATCAATTATAGACCTTTTGTCAATTTGCCGGCCTGTTTTGTCAGTCTCCGTTTGTGGATCACAATTGTCCCTTGTGAACTCCATCGACAGGTGTGCAGCCCGGTGTGCATCATGCACCTCTCAGGGCACTCTCTTTGGTTCTCCCTGTGAATCTGTTTCTTTCCGTCTTTGTCAGCTTTGTTTGTTTGTCTCTATCCATCCTTCCCGCAATTGGACGTCAACATTTCTAGACCAAGATGCTGATCAAATCTCTTTTGACAAACAAAACACACGCCAACCATAGGTTTAAAGTAGGAAGCTGTCCCTTGGATGGACACCAATGGCATCCAGGGGCACGCCTTTGAAAGCTTTACACTATAGTGCATGGCTTCTCGTGGTGACATCCAAACCTTTTGCAGAGACCTTCCATTTTCACAGGCATGTAATTTCTGCTCCAAGACAAGTTGACGCAAATGGGCAAAGCATAAATCTGAAAAACTTTGGCGGAGAGTCGTTCGCCAGAGAGAGTCTTTCGCTCTCATGATGTTCGTTCTCATGCGTTGTGGCCAGAACCTGATCCTTGGCAGAAATGGTATGATCAGATGGACAGGCATTCCACAACATCCTCCTCGACGCCAGCTTCATCTAGCACTATGGTCTCCCAGGAAGTAGATGATCTAATAAACTGCAGAAGATGGCCATTCGCAAAATCCAACAACAATTCGACCAGAAAACTCTCGTTCCAGCGAACATTGAATTGGTTGGATTTTGCCAGAAAACTCACTTCAGCAGGCGATGTTGGCCCAAGAAGACCCGCCGATGTGCTGGCGATGTTTTGGTCGAAGAAAAAACGGCATGCCAACGCCAAATCCCAGATACACCGGAATACCATCAAAATTCAGATGTCAGTCTGGCCCAACGTGTTTTTTCTGTGTTGAAACCTTCCCGCTACAGTAGGAGGAAAAAGAACACATTTGTCGATGCGTCAGTCCGACATGCGTCAGTCTGGCCATTCGAGGAACGACGACAACAAGAGCATCACCACATTTGGCGCAGTCGATTTTTCGACACTTCAAGATACTTTCATGCAGCATTGTCCAATGATTCGGATGTCGTTCTTTTCGTGTTTTACTTCATGTTCCCAGACGCTCCGTGGGTTCACAGCTCGACTGGTCCCGAACCAAACCCGCTCCGGGATTGGTGAGAAGCACCGGCCCCTACTGAACGGAGGGTCCAAGGTCCGGCTCCTGGGTACTAAGCTTTTTCTTCGGTGACGTCGACAGACCTTTCTCCATGCCTGGTAGTCCAAGACGACA